GAAAGAAAGAAAATTCTAATTTAATTTAATTAAGAATATAATATCAGGTCATTTTATATTAGTAATGTCGTCTCTTGTCTTGCTTACCCTGGTGCCAGGTTCAATTTCAATTCGGTACTAGAACCGTTTGTTGAAATGAAACACATTTACTGGAATTTTTACAAAAGAAACAGTACCACAACTACTGTTAAAAACGTTTGTTCTCAGTGAAAGAAGAATTCTGCATGAGAATCCGCAAAAAAGAAAGTAGGGAGTTATTGTAATATAGAGAAACACCACTATTATATATTCAGTGGGATGTAAGAGGATTAGTAATCAAAATTATCCAAAAAAAATCCAGAGGAAAAAATACTTAAACTTACATTACGAATAAGTTGTCCAGCATCATCCTTATGACTCTTGATCTTAGCAGCCTGTTTCTTGGCCACGTCTAAAGCTCGATTGGCCTTGGCCACAGCACCTGCATCGCAAGACAAACCACCACAAAAACCGCATCCAGCGCCACCACACACGTTACTGCAATCCGTCACATTATCTCCGCACATCTCCAAATTCAAACCAGGCATTATTCCATCGAAACTCTTCAATTTATCGGTTATTTTGCCCAAAGATTCTCTGTTCTTATTCTGTGCATCTTCCACAAAGGCACGGTTCTTAGCTAATAGACTGTCCGTATGTTTACGATATCTCTCCGCATCGGCCAACACGCTACTGGTATCGTTCGCCATTTTCTCAGCTTGTCTGGACTGTTCAGCCATTTGCTGCGTAACATTAAGAGCACCTTGTACATTTTCTTCTTGCAATATAGTCGCATTCTCCTTAAGATCTGCTGCAATTTGATGCAAATTGTTCCTCCTATTCTTCAAAGTCTTTAGAGCGGCATCTCCTAGGTTCACCCTTTGACTGACATTTTCTAACAAATTGTTCACTTGGCCTAATTGTTTCGTAGACTCAGACACTCTGTTGTTCATGTCAATGGCTAGATCGTTCAATTCGTCTAAATCTTGGCTTCTGATCGAAGCGTTGCTGATCAATGCTTTCACTTGATCCAAAGAATTAACCATGTTGTCGAATTCTTGACCGTAGATACCACCAGTCGTACCGACCTTTTGAATTCGAGAAGCTTCGTCGATTACGAGATTCGTCTTGTTTCGTAGACCACTCAGCGTCGTATCCCAATTGTCGAAACATTCCCCACAAGGGTTGCATTGAGGTGCATTTCCATAATAACCGCGATCACACTCGTCGCACTTCTCGCCACCGATTCCCTTGTGACAAATGCACCTTCCGGTTTCTCTGTCACACTGTTGGCTGGCAGAGCCCGTTAGATCACAATCACACGGGTGACACTCGACGTTTGGATTGCCCCAGTAATTCGCTTGACATTCGTTACAACGTCTTCCTCCAAAACCAGGTTTGCACTTGCAGGTTCCATCGAATGCATTACAACTGTAAAAAATCGTTTTCTTAGAATTCACGTTTCTTTCGAATTCTTTAGAATAAAAATTCGCATACGAACCTGTCGGATAAGCTTCCAACCGCGTCACATTCACAAGGATCGCATCCTTGTCCACTGGCAATCCTCCAGTGATTTTCCTCGCAGGAATCACAAAGTACACCAATGACATGGGGTAAACAAGGACACTGTCCAGTTCGATGGTTACAGTGTCCAGCATTTTTATCGGTTCCCAGAACGTCGCATTTACAGTCCTCACAATTTTGTTGAAGAGCATTTCCGTGAAAACCTGGCTTGCAAATGTGACAATTCATTCCGTCGGTGTTGTGAAGACACTGTAAGCAACGACCAGTGTGAGGATCGCAGTTTCCAGGTACTCGTAAATCCGTGTTGTTGTTACAGTTGCAAGGCTCGCAGGCACCACCGGGAACATCAGGATCGCCAAAGTAATTTTCTGCACAGCTCTCGCAACGAGCACCTGTGTAGCCGTCGAAACACTCGCAGACCACATCGTGGGTCAACGAATCCAATGAACAGCTCTCGGCATACGAGTGTCCGGAGTTCGGAGTTCCTGTAAGTCAATGGAGGATCTTAAGTTGAATCAAGTTTGATAAAATGAACGTAACGACGAATAATTAAGTTAATTTTCGTGAGAATTTCTAGAGTAACAGTTCTATTGGAGCAGTTGTTAATTTTGCTGACGAAATCAAAATTAGATAATCGATATTTTCAAAGATAAAATTACACATTGTCATTAAATTGTCAATGTAAAAATAAAACAATTTTATTACTGCACTGCACGTACCCGGACAAGGGCACGCTCTGCAAGCAATATCCACGCCAAGTCTTGGATCACCATAGTAAGTCTCAGTGCATCGATCGCAATTATGTCCAGTCGTGTTATCACGGCAACCAAGGCAAGCGCCGGTTTTAGAGTCGCAGTCATCAGCGTGACCATTACATTCGCAACGTTTACAATGGGGAAAGTTCCAGAAGTAAGGCTCACATTGACCACAAGTCCTGCCGTAAGTATTTGGTCGACACTTGCATCGACCTGTCCCGACGTCGCAGAAATTATCCAACGCACCCACACCGTCGCAATCGCAAGGTATACAACCCTGTGGACCGAAACCGTAAGTTCCAGGTGCGCAACGATCGCATCTTCTACCGACGACGTTTGGTTTACAGGGGCACGTGCCTCCGTAATTCTCACAGAGTAAACTATGAGATCCTGTTGGATTACATTCACAAGCTGAAACATAAAGAAATCGGTAGAGTTTCATGTTGAAAAATTTAACACATAAATTACAGCTTTTTAGAAGTGTAAATTATCTTTGAACATGGTAGAAATTTTTCTCTTCGTAATAAAGCTACGTTGCTTTATTTTTGAAAATTCTCGCTCTACAACTTACAATGTGCACCATCGTAAACGTAATAGCCAATGCTGTTTTGGTACTTCTTGCAGACTTCTGGAACATTGGTCCACACAGAATTAATATCGTTGTAGAATTCATTGCAGTGATATTTTTCGTATTCTTGACGACGCAATTCCCCAATTCTTGGGGCCTTGAAGAAAGGTAATGCGTCTATTCTCGGTCTCAGAACGATCTGAACGAAATAAAATAAAAATGTAATATTCAACTATTCGAAATAAAAAGTAACTGGTTATATAATCTAAATGAAAGCATTATTTCAATTTTATACATTACTCACAGAGTCAACCAAAATGGAGGCAGAAGGCGTGTCCATGTGGTTGTTAAATTTACGGAATTGCAGCAAAATATTGTATCGTTTGCCAGCTTCCAAACAGACAGAGGGTTGTACGACGACACTTCTAGATCTTAGTGGGAGCTGTGCCCATAATTGATCGTTCTCCTTTCTCCAATCAGCGCAAAGACCATTTGGATCCACTGGACCATCCCTTTCAATGATTATTTGCACATTTTCCCAGGATCCTGTCTGGACTGGTTCGTACCGTACGATTATATCGTACCACAAAGTTTTACGTATATCGTCGATCGTGAAATTTAGAACTGAACCCTCCAGAGCTTTCATAAATCCGGTTCCAGTCCACGTACTGTTCCTTCCATCGCGATGAGGTTCTCTAATCACCACTTGGCAATTCTACAAAAACAGTATATTTTTATATCAAAAGTCCTAATAATATTTTTTCTATTGTTTCTCAAAAAACATCTCTAATATAGTATAAGACCAAATTACTTATTTTTCATTTTTCAGTAATTTTCTTCTATCTTCACTTCATAATTTCTCATATCTTCAAACAAAATTATACTATGTCTAAAATTATGTTAAAAATATCCTCTGAATTTTTATTTCTCATTGATTCATAGTGAATGCTATTAAACCAATCAAAATGTTAGCTACCTTGTGAAATTAATATATTTCAAAT